GATGTCGTAAACAATCTTATGGTTACTGGGGAAAGGGGGTGGGAAGGGATAAATTTGGGAGTTTGAGATTTACAAACAATATGTAAAAATAGATTTTTTAAAAAGTGCTGTATAGCACAGGGAACTATGTTCAATAATAATAATCTTGTAATAACCTTTAATGAAAAAGAATATGAAAATGAATATATGTATGTATATGCATGACTAGGACATTGTGCTGTACACCAGAAATTGACGCAGTGTAACTGACAGAACTCCAATTTTAAAAAAAATAGGAAAAAAGAAAGTCACATGCCTAAGAACACACCATCTATGACAGGGCCGTCCTGGGGTCACACAAGTGAAACACTCACTCTGAGTCTGAAATGTAAACGGGCATTTAAAATTTCAGTAATTATCTTCGTTAACTGATGCTGCTATAACAAAGTACCATAGACTGGGTGGCTTATAAACAGCAGAAATTTATTTCTCACAGTTTTAGATGCTGGAAGTCTCAGATGAGGTGCCAGCATGGTTGGGTTCTGGTGAGAGACCTTCCTGGTTGCAGGCTGCTGACTTCTCATCGTGTCCACATGTGGCAGAAAAGGAGGGCAAGAGAGCTTTCTGGGGTCCCTTTTATAATCCTAGTCAGGAGTGCTTTACCCTCATGACCTAAGTACCTCCCAGTACCATCCCATTGGAGGTTAGGAGTTCAACATACAAATTTTGGGGGGGATACAAATCCTCCATTGCAGTGTTCAAGATGAATAACACTTGGTGCAGAATTTTTTAAAAAAATCAAAATCCCAGTACATGAAACACACAGCATCTTACAGTGCTGTGCTGAGCTATATGGAAGCCTGAAGCAAAAAGGAAAATATGTACCCTGATCCACACTTACATTTTTCAATGGTTCCATGAAAGTATTAGTGATATATCTTCTTGTATTAAAGCCAGGGAAGTAAAATTCTAATAAATAGAGAAAATATTCAAACCTAAAATAATGTAGTAAGTTTTAATATACCTACTTTTCTGTTTTTCAATTTTTTTAATTAACATTCTGAACAAATAGCAATTAAAAAATACCTAAAAACGTGTATACAGCATTGTGCATTTTTGCTTTTTCCTAAGAAACAGTGTGGCTTGGCAGAGTGCCGATCTATGAAGTAAGTAGTTTCACCTCTCCCCTCCCAAATCAAAATCAGATCCAAACCTCTGGATCTAATACAATTTTCAGGAAATATTAATCACATAGGAATAGGGGGAGGATATAGCTCAGTGGTAGAGTGTATGCTTAGCATGCACAAGGTCCTGGGTTCAATCCCTAGTACCTCCATCAAAAAATAAGTAGACCTAATTACCTCCTCCCTCAAAAATAGGATTATATTATATAACTACCACAAGGATGCACTCAACTAAATTTGGGCTGTGAGAAACTTTAGGGTAAACATTCTTATTTCTGCTACATTTAATTGGAAAGAGAGAGAAAGAAAGGAAACCTCTAGAGCAAAAAGAAGTTTAGAGACATTTCAACCAGTCACAGTGTGTGGGCCTTACTTGGATCCACATCCTAACAAGCAAAAAAGTACATTAAGACCATCTGAAATTTGAATAGTGACTGGGTATTTGTGATGTCAAGGAGTTTGTTACATTTTAGGTGTGATAACTTGTGGTTATGTTTTAAGAAAGTCCTTATTTTTGAAGAGGCAAACAAAATATGGATGAAATGACACAGTATCTGAGGATTTTCTTATGTGATAATACAGAAGGACAAGTGTGTGGGGGTGGCGGTGAAATAGTGTTAGTCATGAGTTAACTGTTGAAGATCCGGGTTCATAGGGACTGTTATACTGTTATTTCTATATATGTGTTGAAATTGTTTGTAATAAAAAGCATACATGTATATGTATAAAACATGTCCTTTCATCTCCCCAAAATCCTGATTCTGTAGGTTTGGGGGGGAGCATCAGAATCTTTTTTTTATGTTCCATAGATGATGTGATTGCATAAGCAAGGTTGAAAACCACTGTTTTATGTCATTTGAATGAGTTAATATAGTTGACCACTATAGTCATAAGCATGCCATAAAATCTTAGTGATAGCAGGTTTAATCTGATACATGTCCCATTTTTCTTCAGTCTTGCTGCAAAGCTTATGAATATATGGGATACATTATGGAAAAAGAGCAAGCATATACAGACGCTGCCTTGAACTATGAGATGGCATGGAAACAGGGCAACCAGACAAATCCAGCAGTAGGTGAGTTTAAAATTTAGACACGAGATTTTCCCAGCAAACATGGTTTTCAAATGTAAATGTTCATTTAAATGCATTTGATTTTCTTTTTAAGAACAAAATATACGTTGAGTCAACATTCTTTGTCAGTCCTTCTGAAAAATAAATTTTATATTCATAACAGATTACTGGCTACCAATAGTTATTAGGTATAGTTTCCTGAGATTCAAACTTGACCTCAGTCACTGTAGAGACCATCTAATCTAATTCTGCCCTTCTCTGCCTTCACCCTCTGCTATCTTGACGATGGTATTGCTGTTGGGGAAAGTGTTCCGTTGCCAAGAAAGTTGGGAAGATACTGCATTAAATCAAGTTCTACTGGTTCCTCTACTGCAGAACTTCATAAAGTCTTTAAACTCTAATGTATACTGTGAGGGCTATCACAGAGGGGACATGCTTCCCACTGTAGTTTGAGCATGGAACATTTTTTTCCCCAGCATCTAGAAATATGATCTTGTTCCGGTGGTAGATTATTAGGTTGAGTGGCATCTGGAATACACTGAGTGACAAATGTCTCCCCACATTGTGAGGGAGCTCTTCCCCCTGCTTCTTTTTCTTCATCTGAAGCTGAAATAGGCTTCAGTGACACTGTCCTGTCTGTTCTCTGGAGCAGCCCGCAGGGTCCTTTCCCTCTTATATATGATGTGGCCTCTTAGGAGAGACATCACAGAGTTTGCACTGAGTTTCTTTCCAAACCATCCTCAGATACTTGTCCATTCTTCCTGAGACTCGCTTTCAAGTCTTTCACCCTCCTTGTTGCTGTCTCCTGGAAATAGTGTTTCCCAAACTGTGCTTTGATATCCTAGGTGAGACAATAATAGTTATTTCTTTAAAAAAGAGAGAGAGTTGAACATGAGATTAGATTCCATGGCCAAGTAAGTTTAGAAAAGGCTATTTTACTTGTCCATGTTCCTCATGACCTGTTGTACCAGAAATGAACAAATTCTCAACTATGATTTAAGAATGAGTTGTATGTATAATGAAGCGTTTTTGTTGCTGTTCTTAACTAGGCATTTAGTAGTTGTTCACTGAACCTAAGATGGCACCTGTCTTTTCAGCAGTGTCTCAGCAATGACTCAGATTTAATCTGCAGTCAGATAGGCCATCTTTACACTAACTGCTGTCAGTTCAGGACTTCCCCTACCTGGTATTTTTCTGAGGTTTGTTATTTTACTAGACTTACATAGAACACAGGAACTAACATTTGATGACAGGGTTTTTCCTTCTCAGGTATTATGCATATTAGAGAACAGTCAGATTGTAAAATGAAAATTCCTTAAAATCTTTACAATGTATGTAATTTTGATGCTTTATTCCCCAGAATGAATGCAGTTAGAAGTTCAGTTATTTAAATATTCTGTTCCTTGGAAGACCAGCAGGTAAAGAGGGTCCGACTCACTGTTCTTTGATAGTGTCATCTTTGTTTTTTCATAGGTGATTTCTGTCATTTCCTCTGACTTCTTAGTAGGCATTTCTTTGAGGCTCTCAATTAATTCTTAGTTTCTTCCTTAACTTAAGATTATCATTGCATCCAGTACCCCCACCCCGCCTGGCCAAGTTAATGATGCATTTATTGCACTTTTTCACTTGCTGGGAAATCCTTAAAATCATGGTTGTGTTCTTTCCATAGGGTTCAGGCTTGAGTATTGTCACCGTGAGAGGCACGCGGATCTGAGAGCCCCTGAGAAGTCATGTTCACACCCAGTCCCAGGGTCCGTGACAGTCACCAGGCTGCTCACAAAGTTGGTGTTCTTGCTCGCTCTCTCCCTCTTTCTCCCATTATCTTTCCTGATTACAAAGAGTTGGATTCTTGTAAGCCTGACCGGTGTCATGCAGCTGTAGTACATGTGTTCTTGCCATTTCTAGCCCTTTGTTTCCTGTAAAATTTTTCAAAGGAAATGATCTATCAGGTTTCTTTCAGTATGAAAACTTTGTGCTTCTAATAAGAGTGTTTGTACAGAAAAAAAACCCTGCTAATATTCGCATTGTGCTCTCAAATTTTAAAAGCATTTCACAAATATTTCTTTTGATCTTTAAAATTACACTCAGAGAGAAAAGTCATTCCTCATCCAAAAAATGGGGACAAACTTGAAGTTGACAGCTCAAGTGACTTGCCTCGGGTCTCAAAGCTAGTCAGGAAAACAGAAACCAAAATTTAAGTCCAAGTTTTTTTTGGCTCTAGTTTCTGTCTTTGTCATGACAGCTTAAGTTGTTTTCCTTTTTAAATGTCACAAACTCTTTTTACTAGTCCATTTTATAATGACTTTCTAACTATAAAGTTTACCTCTCTGACACTGTTTTCATCTTGGACAGTTCTAAATGCATCTGCTTGTGTGTGCGTGTGTTTGGAATACTACGAATTTTAGACAGTTCCTACTCCTTGCTTTTTACTACCATATGATTACATTAGCCAGTAATTATTTTCAAGCTTTTTTTGAAATTCTAAAAATTTGGTTCTTAAAGCCCAAGAGCAGCATTCAAATTCTTCTTTTTCATATTTCTAAGTGGCAAAGCAAAATACTTATTAATTACCTATTACTTTACACTGTGTCGTATCTATTGAGTCTACTTTTTTTGTCTTGTTCTTAGTTTGCTTACTATTAGGGTATTTTTACAGGAGAACAAGCAGTGATCTAAGAATGTCTTAACTTCTAAATTGTCACTATTTGAAATGTGACATCTAAGTATCAGTGATTATGATAATTGTTACTCACCACTGATGTGGGCATCTAATGACTCATGCACTGTCTTCTGAGCCCCTCTCCTGCCCGCCCCGCCCTCTCCAACATGACTCCAGGGCTGTTGGTTCCTCTGTCTCCCTCCACCACTGGCCTTTCCATGTGCAGTTCCCTCTGCCTAACAGTGTTCTCACTTCCCACTCCCTTGGCCTACTTTATGCCTCATCCTTCAGATTTTAAGTCTTGCCTGACACCCACCTCCTCCCCCTCCAGGTTTCTTATTAGAGCGCTCCTTGGCCTGTACCTTTATTTCACAGCATCATCTCACTTTTCAAATTATTCATGTTCTAACACAATTACTT